CGTCGCGTGGTCAGGAGCGGAGCGCAGGAGAGTCTGGTCGCTGGTTCGAATGGCAGCGACATCCAATTATATTATTTTTTTCGGTTTTTCCTTATGAGAGGAAGAACAGGACGGAGTTGGCTCTCTGTGCTGCTCAGAACTCCTCGGTGGCCGCGTGGTCAAGAGCGTAGCGCAGGAGAATGTAGTTGCTGGTTCGAATCCCAGCGACTTCCGATTTATTTATTTTTGTTATTTTTTAAGGGAAAGAGCAGCGCGAATAGTGAATCTCGGTGATCGCGACGAGGCGACCCCAGTTCAAAGTCCACTCCGAGTCCCGTGCCGCCCAGGCGGAGGCGGAGGAGCGCCAGCCGAGGCAGGGGTAGGCAACCCGTCGGTCATGGACGTCCGCAGTTGTCACACTCGGCCAGCCGGTCGGCCGGCCGCGTTCGAAGAGCACGCCCTTCCGCTCGCGATGTCCGCAGTTGTCACTCCTGACCCTCGGGACCCAGGTCATGTCCGCAGTCGTCCTAACGCCGGGTGGGACTGAGCCTGATTACCGACTGGTAAAAGTGCTCGACGGGGCGGGGCGGGGCGGGGCGGGGCGGGGCGCGAGTCGCGTTAATGGCCCGGGGTGCCTCTCGGTGCCCGCCGCGCCCCTTCCCCCCATATGCAGGCCAAATTCGCATTATCCCGACGACACACGAAATCTCCCGGTGACGCATAGCCACTTGAGGCGGCCGGGGCGCGGCGGGGCGTGGTGGGGCGCGGCTAGGTGCTCCGGGGGCCCCGCCCCGCCCCCGGGCCTGACTGGCAGAATGCCACAAACTTTCAGCCCTCCCGCCGCGCGCCGCGCCACGCCCAGCTGAGCGCGGGCTGCACGCGTTTGGAGGAGGAATGAAATATGTGGCGGGCCGGGAGGGGAAAGGGGAGGGCAGAGGGAGAGGGGAGAGAAGGGTGCTCCTGCAAAGTCGCGCGCGATACACCTTGACGCCGCATAAAGCAGTGCAGGCGCTTGCGGGTGTCGTGCCTGTAAGCCTTCATTTTAGGCGGGGGTGGGGGTCAGCGGCTCGCTCGCTCGCGGCAGAACGCCCCATCACCCTGGCGAGGCTGCGTCACGTGCGTTCCGCGTGACCTCCCCGACGCGGACGTCGCGGCCCAGCCCC